TTCTCATGCATCTGACCCTATACCAGCATCAACTTCAAAATGGATAGGATCAATTCAGAAGCCATCTACAGAAATATGTGGGGGTTGCTCAGGTGAAATGATTGAGCATGTATCCTATGCAGAGGTTCCAAAGATTATCATCCTGGAGTACCCATACTGTAATACTGAAACTAGTCACAAGGTAAAGTTTGTAGTAAATGGAGAAGAAGTTTTACTGAGCCTGAGAGGGATCATATACCATGGGGATAATCATTTCACCTCTAGAGTTTTTTCATATGAAGGTAAAGTTTGGTTCCATAATGGGATAACCACCAAAAATAAGTGTATAGAAGATGGGCAGCTAGATGATAAAAGCAATAATGATCTTAGATACTATCAAGATCAGGAACTTGTTTTGGCTGTATATTCTCAACTTTAAATTAGAACTTTGTCTTGATAAATTTAACATTAAAATAGAATTCTAGATTAATATCTTTATAACATTGAATGCAAGCCACATTGATTTGAAGCAAATGATTATAAAGAATTGTAAATAAATGTCAAATGATTTTGCAATTTTTTAGACATTGTTACTGTAACATTATTCACAATCTCTTGGTTTACATTAATGTGGCTTGCATCCATTGTTGATGAAAATGTTAAAATATGCCTTTTAAAAAAAAAACTTACTCTACATATTTTTCAGCATTGGAGGTCCATGGGAAGGACTCATACATGCCATGCGCAGCACTGGCCCACACCCACAAGTATACTTACACTACTATAGTCTATCAGTGACCGGGACTTTGGTGTGGGCACTTCAAGAGTTTGAAATCCTAACTTTCCTCCCTCAATATTGACACAGGCTTACTGGGATTTTTTTCCAACTCTCACCAATATGAATATGAACTATTTTTCTGCAACAACTGAGTTTGATGAGCCCAGGATTTTACAGCTGATTCCGAAAAGGTTGTCACTATGCCAAGGGGGTAGCAGGATGCGGATCCCGCACCAAGGGTAGGAGGGGGGTGTAAAAAAAGTGACCTCCCATCAATTTTCAAATTTTGAAGGGCAGTGACATTCCATGGATATTGATGATGCATCTGAAACTGATGCAGACAGTTCAAACCAAGAGTACTACCATCTGCGTTGACACATGTGACACCCTACACTACTGTACTAAGTGTTCATGATTTTGGGAAAAATTTCACACTGAGATGGCCGAAAAATTTTCTTTTGATTTAAGACAAATAAAAAAAAATAGTTTTTTTGTTGATGTGACATGTGACATGAACACTTGGTCGAAATAGTACAGTACGCCGCCCCAGGCCAAGCGCCTCTTGCTTCTCTGAATCAGTTACACCACTTGGTTGGATGCCACTTTGGATTCTTACTTGGCCTGCATATAAAAGAGTTGCTTTTGGATTCATCACATTCACAGTACTGTACTAATACGACCATGTCTTCATGTCACACATCACAGAGGCTTCTGAATGAAGGGAAGTGAGGGTGATGTCACGCATCACCGGCCTTTGAAGGCATTTCCTCTTATTTGAAAATAACAGTTTTTTTTTTGGTGCCTGTAGTGCCCCTAGCAATATAAACACTACTGTATGCCTTAGCTATTTCCAACAGATTACAGTTGATTTTGAACTTCAAATTGACAATGGGCCTCTGTTTGGGACAGCCGATGGACATGGATGAAGAGATCACACTCTTCATCATGCATCACATCAGCTATTGAAGTGAGGAAGAGATGGTGAAAAGGTGTCATGCCCTAAAGGGCTTGAAGACTTGGTCGTATTAGTACAGTACTGTAGCATTTCATTCAATTCAACAGGGCCCGTGACATGTGACAGGCCTGTCAAAATTTTGGTTTTGACAACCACACAAATTCACCATGACAAGCCGAAAATTTGGGCAAATTTTCGACCACTTAGCACAGCAGGCCACGAAAAATTTCAACATTTATCACATGAGCGCCAGATGATTTCGACACCTTACAAAAATCTGTGTGAATACCATGACATTTCAGCAATTTGAAGGGCACCGTGACACATGACCATCAAATTGAATGAAATGCTACAGTAATGATGTATACATTGTACCTACTTACCCACATCTGTCTTTGAACACCTACTTTAGAGCTGCTTTGTTTCAATATCATGCTAGTGCAGGCTCGTTATATGCATCTTCAGTGACTTAGCTTAGGCTTAGTTTACAGGCAACCGCCTGTGTAGTTTAAGTACTTGTCACTAATGTAAGTACATAAATCTTTTGAATTTAAAAAAAAAAGAACATAAGTATGGGAAAAACATACTCTATTAGGAAGGTAGGTGATGGGGGGTGTCAAGCGGAACTCCAAAAAAAAAAGACAAGTATTGGTCTCTTTTCCACATTCCGCCACCCCTTGCACTATGCCTTTTTTTTATACAATACATCAGCAATATAATATATGAGTGATATATGAGCTGAGTAATCAGGTCCACACCAGGGTTCTTCCCGATCTGTACCTTAGCATCAAGTTCTGTCCATACACGTTATCCCCCCTTTCTGACTTGACCATATTTATCATATGTTTCACATTCCTTCCAGGAGTCCTCTTTCTGCATATAGCCATGCATCACCACCACCACCTTTCAATTTTCCACCAACTCATGGTGATGAGGTAGAGATTGTGGATTCTCCTTCACCATCCGTAAGTGAGCTGGAAGTTCAAATTTTTGATGTGTTGCTTTCTTCTCTCCAGCTGCTTTAGCACTAAAAGACTTCCAGGCCACCCAATTGCAACAATTCACACACCCCACACTCTCTATTCCAGTCTTTCTTGTCCCTCAACACCTATCAGCACACCTGTCATTCCTTTGAAACACCTGTCATTCCTTCACACACTCATACTTGTGGGTGTGGGCCAGTGATTCACATGGCATGTATGAGTCCTTCCCATGGACCTCCAATGCTGAAAAATATGTAGACTAAATTTTTTTTTAAAAAGGCATATTTTAACATTTTCATTAACAATGGATGCAAGCCACATTAACTTGAACCAAATTTTTTAGGAGATTGTAAATAATGTTACAGTAACAATGTCTAAAAAATTATAAAATTATTTGATATTTATTTACAATTCTTTATAATCATTTGCTTCAAATTAATGTGGCTTTCATTCAATGTTATAAAGATATTAATCTAGGATTCTATTTTAATGTTACGAGTCCTCTGAGTTTACGAAGAGACTCGTTTATTACCCAGGATCTCAGGACTTTTTTCAGCGCGGTAACACTGAAATTTGACTTTCTCCCACGAAAGTGATTTCTTCCCACGATCAGCTGCCTGCTCAACATTGATGACTTTGCCAGTCTGCTCTACTATTTCTTAGTTATCACCTGCTTTTAGTCCTATCCATGTTGTCATTGATGTAGGTGGTAGCTAATGTATTGCTCTACTTGGCTGTCAGACTCTAATATATGAATATATTGCCTCCATTTTCACATTTATGTAACTATACTTCTTTACATTAAAGATATAACAATTAAGGTCATGACAACTTTTGTGGCATATTTTTACAGAGTGTGTGGGTATCCTAATGAGCCCAAGGCTATGCAAAATGAGCCATGAGAAGGTCCTGGGCAGTTGGTGGGTATGAGCGCAAAAAGACAAAAATAGAACATAACATACATCCAAGAGTGCTCAACTAGTTCATAGGCAGTTTTGGGGAGTCTCTTCAGGGGGTGTGGGGGTATCCAAACGAGCCCTTGACCACAGAAAACGAAGCAGATTGAGGTCCTGGGGAGTTGTGAGCATAAGGGCAAAAGAACGAAAATGCAAACTCACCTAGCTCCATGAGACCTTGACCGTTTCGTAAATGGTTTTGGGGAGCGTCTTCACAGAGCGTGGGGGTATCCGAACGAGCCCTCGACCACAGAAAACGAAGCAGATTGAGGTCCTGGGGAGTTGTGAGCATAAGGGCAAAAGAGCGAAAATGGAAACTGACCTAGCTCCACGAGACCTTGACTGTTTCGTAAATGGTTTTGGGGAGCGTCTTCACAGAGCATGGGGCTATCTGAACGAGCCCTCGACCACAGAAAACGAAGCATATTTGGGGAGCATCTTCATGGAGTGTGGGACTATCTGAACGAGTTCAAGATCATGAAAATCGAAGGGGTATTGACAGAGAACTTTCATTGTGTTTGGACTAGCCAAGACAGCAATGTATCATTCCACCAATAAACTGAATTACACACAGCCACATGAGCAGGTTAGAAAAATGATGACGCACGAACATTTCCCGATCATTTGATGGGGGAAAGTTTCGTGCGTCATAGGAATCTGTGATGTGTCAAAAGAATAAGCACATATATCAGTCACTACGTCACGTACCAAACGTAGTAGCCGGACGTGACAATCACTCGTAATGAACGGGCCAACCGGTCCCGGCCGGACTTTCCAAAACATCCCTTTACCAACGGACCAGCCGGATGCTTATAAATGGCTTGCGGGACGGCATCTCTTCCCGCGGCAGCTACCTACGGCAGCCTTCTGGGTGTCCCGTCAGCACCACACCAATAGTACCTAGAAACCTACTTTCACGTTGTAGCTAATTGTATACTTCCACCTCAAATCTACTTGCTTTACCCCACAGCTGCTGGTCAGCAAAGCATGCCCGCTAAGGGTGGAACCAGCAGGTTTACATGAGGCCGCTCACTCGATCAAAGTCTTTGTGGGTGACCTTCACATATTACCACCATGGAACATGGGGTTCTTCAAATGACTCAGGAAATTGCACAGTACCTAACAACCAAATTTCAGGCAATACTCCGGCAAGATCACGACATGCATGTATCTTTTCCTACTCACTGGAGCCTCAACTTCCTCCATGAGGTTGACCAGATAGCTTTGCTCCTCGTTGAGGCCGTCCAAAATCAGGGTAGGATCTAAAGCCATCCCACTCCTCGTCAAAGTTTCTCATCGACCAATCTAGTGCAAACCTCCTGGGATGCTAGCCGTTATTGCGACAGCATTGGAACTGCCATGAATGGCACGCAGCCAGCCGCAGAAGAAAAAATCACTCGAAGATTCCCTCCAATCTATGAGTCTCCAGTGCATGCGACAGAGCCTTTGGTGGTCACCGACAAGCACGGGAATGGGCTCGTTTGGTACCTGCCACATTTGATCACAAAACAGCGTCAAGTAAGTCAGTGCCGATGGCGCACATGCCGTCGGGGTTACGTGGAATGATGTCGTCGGGGCTGGGATGCGGGCATTGAACTGCCGTCGGCTCGGCAGTTTATCGATGCCGCGGGGGCTAGGCACGGGAGCGGGGGAGTTCAGCATGACTGACCAGGCCTGTTGCAGATCGCCATGTGGCAATCACTCTGGAGACTAGAAAGTGTACTCAAGATGGATAGTAAAACAACAAATTGGAGACTCAAGGCAAACAATTTTCGGAATCCCTCCTCTTGTCAACTTAAACCCGGGACTGTCAGTTTGTCTCCAGCATGGTTCCAGCAAGGCCATGAGGTTTGCTTTTAACCTTCATTGATTTCATA